TGTTTATTGAAAATGGTGCATTATAATCTATTATTACTGTAGGCTTGTTTCTTTCTTCAATTCTAATAGAGTTTGACTTATGTAGATTGAGTCTCTTTCATTGGGAGCATCAATATTTATTATGTCATGTTCTCTTGTTCAACAGACACTTTAATCATGAGATAATATTCTTCATTGTCTCATATGCTAGTTTTTGCTATAAAATTGATTTTTTCTCAGAAATTAATATAATTTAAATAATATTAATAGTAATGAGCAATACAGTTTGCTTTTTCTTGAAATTGACTTGACTTCCTTGCCATTTAGAATTCTGTAACTACATTTTCCCCTCTTTTTGCTTTGTAGTTGTCTTCATTATAAACTGACATCTCTGAGTCCCTATTTTCAGTTTTGTAGGCTTGTTTTACTGTGGATACTCTATATTTGGATTGAATTCTGGGTGGTGTTGCTGTATATGCCAATCTCTGGTTGCCAACTGCTGTTGTCGGTTCTCAGTACAAAGGAATTCTTTTAGTATTGTTAGTAAAGTTGTTCTGATTTTTACAAATTCCTTTAATTTCTGTTTGTCTGGAAATTATCTAATTTCACTGTCATATTTGAGGGACAGTTTTTCTGGATATGTGATTCTTGGTTAACAGTTTTTTTCTTTCAAAGTTATGTATGTCTCCCCATTGCCTTCTTGCTTGCATGGATTCTGCTTTAAAAAAAAAAAAAAAAAAAAATCAGCGCTTAATCTTATTGGTTCTCCTTTGTAACTATCTTTTCTCATTTTTTGGAGCAGCTTTCAGTATTCTTTCTTTGTCTGTAGTTTTTGAGTTTGACTATGATATGTCTTGGTTATTATTATTATTATTTTTTTAATGTGGTTTATTTTGTTTGGGGTTCATTCAGCTTTTTGAATGTTTGTCTTCTCATCTTTTAGGATGCTCGAGAATTTTTTTCTCTCCAACAGTTTTTTTACTCTGCTTTTATTTGTCTCTTCCTATTTTGGTATTCCAAACAACTGTAGATTATTCCACTTCATGTTGTTCCATATGAATCATAGCCTTCCTTTGGACTTTTTCATATTTTTTTCTGATTGTTTTTCTAGATGACTCGTATTGAGAGATTTATTTTCAAGCTCACTAATTATGGCTTCCATTGATTCAAATCTATTTCTTTGCCATTTCAATGTATTGTCCATTTCTTAAATCTTAGTATTAATCTTCTGGATTTCTATTTGCAGATTTTAGGATTGTTACCAATCCTTTATCTATTTTGTTTGATTACTCATGTAGTGCACTTTCCTGAATTCTTCCTTGGTTTCCTCAACCTTTCTTTGAATCATTTGAAGGTACCTAAATATCATTCTCTTTACTTCTTTTTCAGGTAGTTCTGATATCTTATATTCCTCCATATAGTTCTGCCTATTGTATTACTTGCTTGAGACACTGTTTTGTTTCTTCAAGAGAACAACAGTTGTCTGTTGCTTTTTTAGGTATTGTGGTGTTGCTGTATTTGTAGTAGGTTGGTGACTGTATACAGTATATTCTTATGCACTAATCAACTGCATCCTCATGTGTGTGATCAGGAAATGAGCTTATGCACAACTCTCTATTCATGTAGCTCGGTTCAGGATGGATTTAGCTGATGTTTGTTGGTGTCTTTGATCCAGTGCATAGCAGCTGGTATTGGCTCTTGCCCATTGGGTGGGTGTGTAGAAGGCATGATTGTGACTGGGCTCTATGAATGTGGTTGTCTTCTTCTTAATTTATGTGAGCCACAAGTATGTTTATTCAATGTCAGTATGTTTTCTTGTATCTGATGTAACTCACAAAAGCTTAAGATGGCTGCGCCTATCTGGTTGGCAAGCACAGGTCACCATTCTATCTCTCTCTCTCTCTTTTTTTTTTTTTTTTTTTTTTTTTTTTGCTACGTCTGTTCAGCTCTATCTCTTTGTAAGTATTCAATCTACTTTTGTATCTCTTCATCTGAAGCTGAGAGTTCCAAGACTGCATCTTTTTCTTTCGGTTTTCTGTGTCTTTGTTGAAAAGGGTCCATACAGTCTTTCTGCCTAGTCCACCATTTTGCCACCTCTCTCTAATTCTTTTGTTTTTTAAAAAGAACCCTATGGAAATATTTCAATCATTTCATTTTTTGAAGCACCACCTTGCCATGATAACATAGTCCTACTAAATATGCCTTTCCCAGTAACTGAGCCAAATCTTTTCTATAAAAAAGTGGTAAATATCATGAACTTGAACCGGTGCTAATATGAAAATAAGGTGCCAGCTATGAGAATTTTGTCTTGAGTTACTGTAATTTTTTTACTTATTCAAGGCCAAAGTCCAGGTAGTGTGAAACAACTTTAACTGTGAGACAAAAGGGGCACCAACAATAGTGTACCACCTTGAAAAACTGATCCCCAAATTGGAAGCCCCTCACTGTCATCCTTCATAAGCAATACCACATTTCATACCTGGAATTTTCCATGAGCTAGTCCATGTTAACTAGAATCATGACATTAACGCAGACAAAGTTATTCCATTCAGGCTATGACAAAATATTTTCCTTCAAATACCACCTAAATCATGTTTCTTTATTCTATGGTCAATACAATTAAGAACATCTTGAGTATGACCATCCACTTAGAAAAATATTATTAAATAAAATCTCAGGCCTTTCATGCTTTTCATTTTTACTATAGGAGCTCTGATGGCACAACAGTTAAGCAGTTGGCTGTTAACTGAAATGTTAGCGGTTCAAGTCCACAAAGCCACTCTGAGACAAAAACCCACCATTTGCTTCCCAAAAGATGATAGTAAAGAAAACTTTACAGAGAAGTTTTATCTGTCATACTCAATGGAATCCAAAATCAAAACTTCCCTTATGTTTAGTTGCAATTTAAGTAATATACCTCATGATATGATATTCAATTACCTGTTGCAATGTCTGGAAAAACATAGGTTAATATGAAAATGGAAGGACTATCAGTAAAAAAATTAACTTTACCCTACTGATAAGAGTAGAAAGGAAAAATAAGAAATCTATACACTTCTATATACATTTTGGGGGGATGTCATTCTTTGAAAGTCATTAAGAACAGGACTTATTTTTCCTTAAAATTCAATATAGTCAAACACAGAAATCGATTATGTCAGAATTATTGCTTCAATAAGAAATATGCGTTTTCTAGTTCTCAAACTCCATCTTTTCCTTACAAATGCAATATTTAAAGTACCGTACTTGAAATCTTCTACAATAGTGAAGTTATTGTAGCATGTGATATTTATAAAATAAATATTACTGGTGTGGCAATGTTGGATCAACAATAGACTGCGAACTATAAGGTCGGCAGTTCAAATTCACCAGCAACTCCTTGGAAACCCTATAGAGGGTCGCTATGAGTCCAAGTCGACACAATTATACTTCACAACAACAAGTGTTAACCACATCATGCACATCACAAAAACTTTCTATACCTTCCATGAAAATATAATTTATATACTCAATTACCACACAATTGCAACATGTGATTCTGACAACCAAAAAGTAGCTCAACACTTTGAAAAAAAATGGTCTGCTATGAGAAATAACTCCTACTGATCATGTTTATAGAAATGACATTATAGTTCACATTTAAGCAGCTACAGCTTACTAACATTAATGGTCTTTGGCAGCAAAGTGATAGAGACCCAAAAACAGAAGCTTAGGGCATACTTGTGGTACACAGCCCCCAAGGTGTCCCTGTAATGTGTGGGCTACATAAAGGAAAGAGGCACACAGGCAGAGCACAGGAGCATTAGGCCTGGACACCAGGAGACTAAGCAGACATTCACACACTCAGGCACAAGCCAGATGGTGAAGCATGTGAGCAGAGTGCACGTGAGTCCTATCACCTAGTCAGGGACCAGCAAGCAGGGGATGCTTTAGCACCTTTCTGTGGCGAGTCTTTGGAAAGGAGTATGATTTGATTCTTGAGATTATTTCACCCGGTGACCAAGTCTAGAAACCATAATGGCAAAGAGAAATAGTAAATATTTCAGAAAACAAATAAAGAGAAACTTAAATGACATACTATCATGTTTAACTTGCTTTATCATTATACTGCATATCCCCTCCAGATTTAACCAATAAAGTTTATTACAGGTAACTCAAACATTTGGAATGTTTTAAGATCTTACAACTTGATGAGAATGATCTTGAAAAATATGTGAACAATGCTTTCTACTACAGGCTACAATGCTTTCTACTATAGACTACAGGAGTCCTGGTGTGGCACTGTGGGTTAATGCGCCAGACTGCAAAGCTGCTTGAACTGAAAAGTTAGCTGTTCAAGCTTACCAGTTGTTCCTTGGAAACCCTATACAGGGTCGCTGTGGGTCAGAACCGACTCGACGGCACTTAAAAATAATTAACAGGCTACAAAATTAGATAACCTGTATTTTATATAAATAAATCACAGATTTAAGAGACATCAACATGAAACTAAAAAGCAAATTTAGCTGCTGAATTTTGTCTCTTAATCCAGGGTACTAGTAAAATGGTGTTTGTTAAAATTTATCAAGGTGCACACCTAGTGCACGTACATCTTTTGTGTATGTATTTTAACATTTAAAAATTACAAAATTTCTAACTTTTTGAAGTCATTGGATCATGCATGACTAAATATAGAATGCAATTATGTTTTATGACTTCTCAGCCATAAGAGCCTTTATCCAACTTAAAGAAAAATGAATCTATTTCATGTGGCATGCATTGATGTAAATGAAGATTCACCTGTGAGCTGTGAAAAGGGCAATGAAAAAAAGGTGACGCTATAAAAGTGTTATATTTTGGATGTTCATCCAAATGTCTTTTAGCATATTCATATTCTCCCAATACTATAACAAATGCTCTGTCTTGTCCTCCCCTATTTCAACATGGCTTAGCTTCTGAGCAATCAATAATCCCTGTGGAAATCTGGTGCAATATTGAATTTTCTGCAAATTTTGTTTTTAAGGGTTGTTCTTGTTCAGCACTGTCAAGTTGGTTCTGATTCTTAGTAAACCTGTATAGGGTATCCATGGGTTTGAACCTCTGACGTTGTGGTTAGTAGTCCAGTACTTATCCAACAGCAGCAAAAAGGCATCATGATGGTATAAACGGACTAGCTCATGATGTAGACATTGTTATTCTTTACAAAAAGACACTAAAGGGCAAGATCCACACTGAAGTCCTCAAAAAAATGAGCATGAAAGGAGTTTTTGCTTTCAGTTAAATCCATATCAGCCCTGGAGGGAGAAGAGTGACAAGAGTCCTCTCTCTTTAAAAGCAGGGGACATTAGCCATATGCCTGGCAAACCCAAGTGGGGATGTGTGCAGCAGCCATATTCTCATCTTCTGTCCATAGTGGGCATGGAGGTAAGTTCTGGCCAAGTCCTCACCTCAGACTCCACATTTTTCTAGGGGTTCTCTTATCTATAATGTTATTAGGTGCCCTATAAGCGTTATCCACATCCATTCCAAGTCTTCCACTATTAAGCATTAGTCAAATCAATCATGTAGAAAGGTCAGTTATTCTGATAACAGTATTTCAATTGATTTGATCAGATGAGCGGAGTAGACATGCTCAGCAAGGCATGTTTTATGGAAGACATGTTTATGGTCATGCATATAGTCCTGTGGATTATACACACACATTAACATAGATGGCTCAAGAATGGACCTTACTATTACCCAACTCTGAAATGAGCCATCTCTCTCATTCAAAAGGGGGCAGAATTTTACATATTCAAAAATCAAGAAAACTTAGCTAGCTTGGAACTGAATTTAGGGAGTTCCAAGTTCAGTGTAGGAGCTCTGGTAGCATAATGGTTATGAATCCGGGTTGCTAATCTCAAGATCGGCAGTTTGAAACTACCAGCTGTTCTACAGGAGAAAGATGAGGCTTTCTGCTCCCGTAAAGATTTGCAGCCTCAGAAACCCTGTGCAGGGTCACTATGAGTCGGAACCGATTCCACAGTACTTAACAACAATAACAACAAGTTCAGTGTGGCACTGTGGGTTAATGTGCTGGACTGCAAGGTTGGTTTTAACTGCTAGGTCAGTGGTTCAAGTTCACCAGCTGTTCCTCAGAAACCCTGTACAAAAAAACAAACCCACTGCCATTAAGCTGATTCTGACTCATAGTGGCCCTGCATAGGTCTTCTGAGGCTGTGAATCTTTAGAGGAGCAGAACGTCTTATCCGTCTTCCACAGAGCAGCTGATAGTTTGAACTGTTGACACTGCAGTTATCAGTACAGTACTTCTCCTCTAGCATCAGTAGAAAGCCGACTAAAGTTAATAGTCACTAGTTGTTACTGTTAAATATCTGGAAGTGAATTCCAACTCACAGCATCCCTATATAGGGTTTCAGAAGCTGTAAATCTTTGTGGGAGCAGAAAGCCTCATCTTTCTCATGTGGAGTAGGTGGTGGGCTCAAATAGTCCACATCCCGTCTTTGGTTCACAGCCTATCCTACAGAACTACTGTGTTCCCTGATCTTTTTTGCTGTTGTTGTTAGGTTACACTGAGTCAAAGAGTCACTAGCAATCCCAGTTCAATGGTATATTGTGAGATGTGATTGAAATGCTTACTATCAGTACTACTGTTTGCTCAAAAGATGTTTTTCATTTGTATTATTAAACAATTGCTTCACCTCTAGTGAAAGACACTTACCATAGAGTTAAAACTTGAAAGTGGTGGCTGACTCCTGAAATTAATATTCCCTGGAAAGTAATAACATGGACAATTGCTGTTGTATAGATGTAAGTCACCTACCCACCTCCCTCCCTTCCTGCACACCCATCAATGTATTTGCATGAGGAGAATATCTCTGCAGATACTTGTTTTCATTATCTCTCACTCAATTTTTCATTATCTTTCACTCAATAAAATTAAGACTAATTAGGTTTTAAAAGTTAAAGTTACAGGTTATTTTTTGATAAATAAAATGTAAAATTGAGACACTCTAACATAGTTTTTTAAAAATAATTCAGTAAAAATAAGGCCTCATCCAACCTGTATTTGCCATAGGCAAAATCTAAAATGAGGGTGATTATTATCAATATTCAGAAAATGAAGACTAAAATTTTAGTAACTCACCATTATCTGCACCAATTTTTTGACATGGAACTGTAAGCACTCTTAACAAACCATCTGGTTTGTAAGAATAGTGTTCGACTAGCTGAAAGAGAAGTGTAGTAAATCAGTAAGGCAGGAAAGAGAGAAAATTTGACTTATAGCAGCTGACTTGTATCCAGGATTTAAAAGTGAGTCAAGGAAAACTTAAACACATACACAAACAACTTTCCTTTGGTCAGACTTGTTAATCCTTCCCCAAGTCTCCTCTACCTATCATCAAGATTCTAGGGAGAAGTCTACATATATGGCCTTTCTGCATGCCTAAGGCTCCTTAGAGACCAAGATGGCCAAACTTCGTCTCTCATTCTTTGGACACATTGTCAGGAGGAACCAGTTTTTGGAGAAGGATATCATGTTTATAAGGTGGAGGGTCAGAGAAAAAGAGGAAGACCCCCAACGAGATGGATTGGCCAAGTGGCAGCTTTGATGGACTCAAGCGTGGCAACAGTAGTGAGGTTGGCCCAGGATTGGGCAGTGTTTCATTCTGCTGTACATAAAGTCGCTATGAGTCGACACTGACTCGATGGCACCTAACAACAACAATCTGCTCATGATCTACCCTATTTCAATCTGACTGCTCTGATATACTACTAAAACAGACTATCTTCTTGTTCTACAAAATACAGTGGCTTATTTTCAGATTCAATTGTTAAGTGCTGTTGAATCCATTCCAACTCCTAGCAATCCTGTATAGGGTTTCCAATGAGCAGCTGGTGGGTTTGAACTGCGACCTTGTGGTTTGCAGTACAATGCTGATCCTGCTGTGCCACATATCCTATTTAATTCTCGAAAATGTTTGAGATATTCTATCCATCTCTCCAGTTATCATTCAACTATCTCCTCATTTTCAGATACTCTGCTCCACAAGGTAATTGGGGAGGCTGAGGAAACAAATACAAACTGCCATTACTGTTGTTGTTTTGAAGTGCCACTTAGGTGGGTCTGACCCATACTGACCCTATATGAAGTTTCCAATGGTTTCAGTAGTACACTGACCTCAGTTAGATGCCTACAGCACCACACCAAGGCTCCATTAGGAAAACAAAAACCTGACTGCTGTGACCCCATAAAGTAGAGTAGAACTGCTGCATAGGCTTTCCAGGACTATGATTCTCTATCGCAGCTTCTTTTGAACCAATAACTTTTGATTATCTGGTGAGCAATTAACCACTGCACCACCAGGGAAAGGGTTGTCAAACCTTTTTTATAAAGGGCCCTGTAAATCCCATTCATAAAGTGGACTCTAAATTAAAGCAATCTTGTAGCACAGAGTATAACTGCATCATAGGATTTCCAAGCCTATATCCTTTACAGAAGCAGATCACCAGGTCTTTGACCCTGTGGAGCAGCTGATGACTTGAAATCTCTGACCATTCTGTTAGCAGGAGAGTGCTTAACCATGCCACCCAAGATCATTTTGTATAGGGCCAGACTGTGATCATTTGAGTTTTCAAAGAGATACAGTTTCTGTTGTATTCTTACTTTAAAAAAAAAAAAAAAAACTTTTACATATTTAAAATATTCTTTTCAAGAACTACACAGAAATAATAAGAGAGCTATATTTGGCTGTAGATTTACTGTGCCCAGCTCTAAATGAAAGAATAGTATAGCAATTATGAACTCTCAGAAGTAACTCTCAAGAAGAATTAAATAGGATTATGTGGCACCAAAAGATCAATAGTAACTCTCAAGAAAAACAAATGAAACATGCATATAAAAATGTAAGGTATTTTGGGTGTACGTTTCTAAACATGATAACTAGAACATTTATAATGAGAAACACTTAACTAGGGTTGAATACTATAATATGCCACTCTTGATGCCATTGCTTGTCTATTAGTTTGTTGTACTGTGGTGGCTTGCATGTCGTGGTGATGATACAAGCTAGGCCAATGGCAATTTAAATACCAGAAGGGTCACCCATGGTGGACAGGTTTCAGCTGAACTTCCAGACTAAGACAGAGTAGGAAGTAGAGGCAGACATCTTCTGAATGTTTAGGCACTGAAAACCTTATGAATACCAGTGGAACACTGTCAGATAGCAACAGAATATTGAAACACTAGGAATAACACCAGAATATTATCAGATATTATCATGGAAGATTAGATCCTCAGGTTGGAAGGCACTAAAAATAAGACTAGAGAGAGCTGCTTACTCAAAGTAGAGGTGACCTTGCCGACCTAAATGGCGTAAACCTTTTGGAACCTTCATTTGTCAATGGGGCACAATTTAAGATGAAGAGAAATAGGTGCAAACATCCATTAATAATGGAATGTATGATGTATGAATCTAGGAAAATTGGAAGTTGTCAAAGATGAAATAGAACACACAAAGATTGATATCCTAGGAATTCCCATTTTGTATCTGATAATCACATGGCTTACTATGCCAGGGATGACAAAGAGCAACGATGTCACATTCATCATCAAAAAGAACATTTCAAGATCTATCTATATCGCTGTCTATGGTAGGATAATAGCCATAAGTTTGCAAGACAGACCAGTTGATAACCACTAATATTCAAATTTATGCACCAACCACTAAAACCAGTGATGATAAAATTGAAGATTTCTATACTTTGGACATATTGTCAGGAGGGAACAGTCGCTAGAGAAGGATGTCATGCTGGGTAGGATGGAGGGTCAGAGAAAGAGAGGAAGACCCCCAACGAGACGGATCAGCCAGGTGGCATCATTGATGATGTCAAGTGTGGCAGCAGTAGTGAGGTTGGCCCAGGATCGAACATTGTTTCGTTCTGCTGTGCATGGGGTCGCTATGAGTCGGTTCTGACTCGATGGCACCTGACAACAACAACAACCAACTTCTTCAGTCTGAAATTGAGCAACATGCAATCAAGATGTACTGATAATTACTAGTGATTAGAATGCAAAGGTTAGAAACAAACAGAAAGGATCAGTAGTTGAAAAATATTGCTTTGGTGAAAGAAATGGTGCTGAAGATTGCATGATAGAATTGTGCAAGACAAAGGACCTTTTTCACTGCAAACATCTTATTTAAACAATATAAAAGATGACTACACACATGGACCTAGCCAGATGGAATACACAGAAATCAAATTGACTGCATCTGTGAAAAGAGACAGCAGAAAAGATCCATAACATCAGCCAAAAGAAGACCAGGGGCAGACTGTGGAACAGACCATTAATTGTTTATATTAAGCAAATTAGCGCAGAAGCTGAAGAGAATTAAAATAAATCCCCAAGAGTCAAAATATAACTTTGAACATATCCCACGTGAATTGAGAGAACATATCCTGGTCACATTTGATAATGATTGAAACCAGGAAAGTTATAGTTGTAGGATGATATCAAGAACATCATAGAGGAAGAATCAAAAGGTCATTAAGAAAACAAGAAATCAGGAAAAGACAAAAATGGATGTCAAAAGAGACTCTGAAACTTGCTTTCCAGCATACAGATGCTAAAATAAATGGAAGAAATGAAAAGGTAAAAGAGCTGAACAGAAATTTTCAAAGGGCAGTTTGATGAGACAAAGTCAAGTATTATAATAAAATATGCAAAGACCTGGAGTTACAAAACCAAATGGAAGAACATGGTCAGAATTTCTCCAGCTAAAATAACTGAAGGAAAAAATCCAAGACTCGAGTCACAATACTGATGGTCTGTCTGGGCAAAATAGTGAACTATGCAGAAAGCATCAAAAGAAGATGGAAGACAAAGTCGAAGTTCAACCATTTCAAAAGGTAGCATATGATCAAGAGCCAGTGGTACTGAAGGAAGAGAAGTAAGTCCAAGGTGGACTGAAAGCATTGGCAGAAATTGATGGAATACAAATTGAAATCTTTAAACAAACTTATGCAGCTTTGTTGTGGCACTGTGGGTTAATTCACTGGACTGCAAAGTCAGTTTGAACTACAAGGTGGTGGTTCAAGCTCATCAGCTGTTCCTTGGAAACCCTACACAGGGTCAGAACTGACTGGATGGCACTTAACAACAACAATGTAGCACTGGAAGCACTCATTCATCTATGCTAGGAAATTTGGAAGACCTAGACAAATGATTGGAAGAGATCCATATCTGTGTCCATTTCAAAGGGAGGTGACTCAATAGAATGTGGAGATCATCGGACAATATCATTAATATAACACAAAGTAAAATTTTGCCAAAGATAACTCAAATGGTGCTGCAACAGTACACTGACAGGGAACTATCAAGAGGTTAAAGCCAGATTCAGATGAGAACATGGTATGAGGAATATCATTGCTGATGTCAGATGGATCTTGGCTAAAGCAGAGAATACCAGAAAGATGTTTACCTGTGCTTTAATGACTATGCAAAGACTTTTGATTGTGTGGTTTATGATAAGGTACGGACAATATCACAGAGAATGAATATTCCAGAACACTTAATTGTGCTCATGAGTAACGTGTATCTAGACCAAAAGGCAACTGTTAGAACAGAACAAAGGGACACTTAATGCTTTAAAATCAAGAAAGGTGTGAACCAGGGTTGTATTCTTTCACCATGCTTATTCAATCTGTGTGCTGAGCAAATTATCCAAGAAGCTGGATTATAGGAAGAAGAAAGTGGCATCATGATTGGAGGAAGACTCATTAACAACTCATAACAAATATGCATATGATATAACTTTGCTTGCTGAAAGTGAAGAGGACTTAAAATACTTACTAATGAAGATTAAAGAACAGAATCTTGAATATGGGTTGCACCTCAATGTAAAGAAAACAAAAATACAACTGAACCAATAAATAACATCACAATAAATTAAGAAAAGATTGAAATTGTCCAAGACTTCATTTTGCTTGGATCCATAATTACTCATACAAACAACAACCAAGAAATCAAACGATTTATTCCATCAGGCAAATTTGCTGCACAAGACATCTTGAAAGTGTTCAAGAGCAAAAATGTCTGTTTGAGGACTAAGGTATGACTAATCCTAGTCACAGTATTTTCAGTAGCCTCAAATGCATGTGAAAATTGGACAACAAGTAAGGAAGACTATAGAAGAATTGATGCATTTGAGTTATGGTGTTAGAGAAGAATATTAAAGGGACCATGGACTGCCATAAGAACAAACAAATTTGTGTTGGATGAAGTACAGTCAGAATGCTTCTTAGAACCCAGGATGGTGAGACTGTGTCTTTCCTACCTCAAACATATTATCAGGATGGACCATTCCAGGAGAAGGACATCAAGCTTGGTAAAGTGTATGGTCAGTGAAAAAGAAGAAGTCCTCCAATGGGATGGACTGACACAGTTGCATCAACAATGGGCTCAAGTGTAACAATGATTTTGAGGCTGGCACAGGACTGGACAGGGTTTCGTTCTGTTGGGCATAAGGTTGCTATGAGTTGGAACCAACTCAACAGCACCTAACAATAACAACAACAAGCTATAATATGGAGGAGGAATAATTTAAAATGGGAAAAAGTCTTGGAAAGGAATTAAATTTACAGTACACAGAATTTGTGGGGTTGAGACACTGCATGAACATTTATTTGTGACATGGCCTAAGGCCTTCCAGCATTGGGAACAGGCCAAATATGATACTCCAGATGCCTTAAATACACAGGTAAATGATTCCCTTACAAGGTGACAGACTTTGATGTGAAACTAACAGAAGGTAATATTCCCTACAGTCTGTGATTTACTTTGTGGGCCATGAGTACATATAAGATTAAATGCTCTTACAAATCAATATTTAAAAAAATAAAGCAAAGCCGGTGACTGATATATATGAGACAAATGCTAATGAGTCCCATAATCAAAAGGCAATATTGTAACTATTGGCAACAGGCTAAGTGTTGCTATACCCAATGTTGATAGACAAATATTTATATTTTTTCACAACTGCCTCATCATGAACCAAATAATACTAGGTCATAGTTACTTTAGGAGTCCTGGTGTGGTGCTGTGGGTTAATGTGACAAACTGCAAAGCCAGTTTGAACCACAAGGTTGGTGGTTCAAGCTCACCAGCCACTCTTTGGAAACCCTTTACAGGGTTGCTATAAGTCGGGACCGACTTAATGACACTGAACAACAACAAAAAAGTAGTTACTTTAAGTTCTTGAAAGGTATTGAGGACAAGTGATCTCCATTTTATCTCAATTTTTAAATAAAAAGATGGGATTTTGAGTTGGCTTCTTTCTACTCATTTTAGGCGTGGTTCTGGTGTGCCTAGGTATGAACATGTAGCACATGAATTAAGTCCTACCCAAAAAGGTTTAATATAATTTCCACCTCAGTGCAGTAGATTCTTCTGGTATCTTCCCTTAGTGTGGACCCATTAAGATGACATATTCAGTACTGCTATTGCCATTTCTATCACTGTCAGGTAATGAAACTATGATTTAAAATTAGACCAGCTATTTCCTGGTGTGGTGCTGTGGGTTAATGTGCTGGAATGCAAAGTTGGTCTGAACTACAAGGTTGGTGGTTCAAGATCACCAGCCATTCCTCAGAACACCTATACAGGGTTGGTATGGGTTGGAACGGACTCGACGGCACTTCACAACAACACAGACTGATAAAAGCTGTAGTGAACATTGTACTGGTGTCAAAATTGTTAGCTATTTGGAGTTTGTGTCAAGGACAAACTCTTTTTACACTCGGGGTACAAGAGTCTTGTTCACCTGCAGCCCAATGTGCTGACTTACTTTCTAAATAACCTTAATTTCCAGAAAGTGGGACTCTGCAACAAGAATGGCACCTGACATTTTCTATTTACATCAGTCCCTCACAAATCAAGGAGCTCTGGTAGCGTAGAGGTTATGAATTGGCTGCGAACCACAAGGTCAGCAGTTCGAAACTACCAGTTGCTCCACAGGAGAAAGATGAGGCTTTCTGCTTCCGTAAAGATTTACAGCCTTGGAAACCCTGTTCAGGGTCACTATGGGTCAGAACTGACTCAACGGCACGTAACAATAACTCACAACTCAAAGAATTGTCTCAGTAGCCTTTTCTATATCTCCTTCCCTGACTACCTTTGCTTTTTTTTTGGCATTTGTCTAAAGGCTTTTCTGGGTTTTGTTGTTTATGTTTTTGTGTGCAGTCAAGTTGGTTCTGAGTCTTAGTGATGCTACATAGGGTTTTTGAGGAGTTTTTGAGGCTGGTGGGTTTGCACTGCAAAATATGCAGGTAGCAGTCCAGTGCTGCTTATCCTATAGTGCCACACCAGGACTCTAGTTGTTTTTTGTTTTTTTTAAGTTTCTAGTCACCTGTAGTCAAAAGTAAAGACAAGAGTCAAGATCTGACCTTGAACAAGGGATACCGAATGTTTTAACAACCTGCAATATACAGATTATACAACATTGCTTGTTGAAGTGAAGAGGACTTAAAACACTTACTTATGAAGATCAAAGAGCACAGACTTCAGTGCAGATTGCACCTCAATGCCAAGAAAACAAAAATCCTCACAACTGGGCCAATAAATAGTATCATGATAAATGGAGAAAAGATTGAAGTTGTCAAAGACTTCATTTTGCTTGGATCCACAATTAACACTCATGCAAGCTGCAGCCAAGAAACCAAGCAACATATTACATTAGGTAAGACTGCTGCACAAGACCTCTTTAAAGTGTTCAAGAGCAAAGATACCATTTTGAAAACTCACATACACCTGACCCAAGTCATGGTATGTTCAATAGCCTCATATGCATGTGAAATTTGGACAATGTGTAAACAAGATCATCGAAGAACTGATGTATTTGAGTTTTGGTTTTGGAGAAGAATACTGAGAGTACCATGGTCTAGTAGAGGAACAAAGAGTCCTGTGCTGGAAGACGTATAGCCGGAGTGCCCTTTAGAAAGACTTCGTCTCTCATACTTTGGACATGTTATCAGAAGGGGCCACCAGTCCCTGAAGAAGGTAACTGTTCTTGGTAAAGTGAAGAGTCAGTGAAAAAGAGAAAGACCTCCAATGAGATAGATTCACACAGTGACAGCAGCAATGTGCTCAAATACAAGAAGGATGGCACAGAACCTGGCAGTGTTTTATTCTGTTGTCCATAGTGTTGCTGGGAGTTGAAACTGACTCAAGGGCATCTAACAACAACAAAAACCCACTCCCCTCCAGGCCTCTTAAATGTAGTCCTGAATCATGGACATTTCCTTATGGTGATAAGAACTGAATGGCTTTGGATACCTAAGGAAGATTCTGGAACATCGTTTACCTAATAGAATCATCCCTAGACTAGTACTTCGCAAACATCAGTATTCATAAAAGTCACCTAGAGGTTGAAAAACAGACTGACTCAGAAGGTATGGAGCAGGGGCCAAGAAGTGCATTTCTAACAGGCTCCAGACTCTAAATCTTGGTGAAAAGGAGCCCTGAGTGTCCCAAGCATCACCCCACCAGGAATGTACCCACCCTAGATATTGAAGTTATTGACATGTACCTGCCAAAGTGTGTCAAACTTCTTCCCATCTGGGATGGAGAGTTTCCCAGTTTTGTCTTTATCTATGCGATAGTGCAGCACCTTCCCCTCATGCAGTAGACAAAGGGCATAGGACCCGTTGTTGTCGCGGGCTCGAATCCTAGAAGAAAAACAGTCACATTATCACTGCTTTGGCAGCCTGGTGGAAAGGAATCAAGGAAGAAATCATGGCCAGAAGGGTGGGGTAGATGGTTATGCTCCACAGAAAATGCTGCACATAGCAGCTGAGGGCTCTACCCAGTGTGCCCAGGAAAACTCTGCTTCCAGCTTTGCTACCATTGACCAACATGCACCAAGTGAAGAATGACTACAGTTAAGGTACCATGAACCCTAATGCTCATTGGAATAGGTGGGATGGGCCGGGTAAGACCCCATTTCTCCTTAGTTCACCCAGAGAAGCAACACCATTGTCTGAAGGCAAGTAGCATAAGTGACACACCAGAAGATACTCAAATGAGTGGGGGAGTCTGTGGAGCCTTTCTGGCCCCACCTTTTTTCATGGAGTCTGAATTTGGGTCAGGCTCTCAGATTGTATAGCTCCTAGTTGGCCTGGGGCAATGTTGGGGCATTTGATGGGTCTTTTAATTAGGAACTGTCTTCATATCAGATGGAGGGAGATGAAAGCATTTACTCATTCCCCAGGGATTTCTTCATGCTGCCCCTACTACAGGGAGGGAGGATGAGCAGAACCTGTGTTTGTCAATGTTATTCAGAAACACAATGTTGGATGAAGTTGGAGAAGAAAATAACAGGACTCATGGGGTGAAGGAAAAAGAAAAAAGTTTTTGTTGAGTTGATTTTAATTCATAATAACACAATGTGTGTCAGAGTAGAACTGTACTCCTTAGGGCTTTCAGTGGCTTTTTTTTTTTCAGAAGTAGATCACCAGGCCTTTCTTCCAAGACACCTCTGGGTGGATTCAAACTTCCAATATTGTGACTGGCAATCAAATATGTTAGGTGTATCATTCAGTGGGGCAAGGGAAGAGACAGCAGAACCAGAGCTGGGCTGGGCTGCTTGCATTGTGGTTTTGGTCATCTTTGAGACAGCCTCCCCATTGATACCATGAGTTAAGACTGGGATTAACAAGCACATGAATGGACACACTGCAGTACATAGGAGGGGAAACTCCTGGCTTAGTGGAGATGTATGAGAAGATCTATTTAAGGCATGTGAAATTAAGTGAGACAGCTGTTGAGGCTGCAAAGATCTGAAAATGGATGCAAACCCCCTCCAAATATATTGTCTTAGCCATTCTTCCTATCTTAATCTTATTTTCCCCTTTCAGCAACTGAAGCCCTTAGGATCATTAGATATGAGAAAGTATGAGCCACAAAAGTCCCAGAAATTCTCCCAGACTTTATTTCTAAAGTGGGGAAACTGAAGCCCAGAACTGCCAAGCAATGACCCAAAGGCACCAGCCAGATACAGATGTACCAAGATGCCAGTGGATTCTGGGGTTTTAGAGAAATTTCTGATGCCTTCTTCTGGGTACAGGAGGTCATATACTGGCCATGATATTTAATAAAGACAGGTTTTGGAACCTGGCTATGTTTTCCTTTCCCTGCCATGCTGTGCACCTGAAAATGGAAACCTAAGACTGTGTTGTGTGAGATTAGAACTTTGCTGTGCAAATAAATTTCTTTTCAAGTCATACTTGGCTGATTTATAGATGGGTTCCCTCCATGCCCCACTACTTGTGGCAGCTGGCCAAGTGGATAGACACACACCCAGACCCTCCCTAATCTCAGCAGGTGGTTGCCTCTAGAACTTTCTGTACTGTGAAAACAGTCCTTTCTTCTCAAGCCTGCAAAGTCCCCAGCACCCTAAAGTGTGAGTTCCCCTTTTCATAGTCACACAGATGAAATCAGTTGGTTTCTGATTAAACCAAAATAAATAAACAAATTTTTACTAAGCACCTAAAACTTACTTTTTTATAGGGAGTACTAAGTCAGAGGGAAACTATTTTACAGTGTGGAAATATTTATACTTGTTTTTATTTTATGACATTAGTGATGAACAGACAGAATAATTTAGAAGCATAAAAAAACTATACAAATGCCAAAGTATTAAGAATTTATTCCTATCTTATTCAATATTGTTAGATTCCAAAGATCAGGTCATTACACAAAATCCAGCATTATATAAAATGTCAGCCAACAAATGCTTTCAGACTCCAGGAGTCATTTTGGAGACAATCCATTGGGTTGCTCCCTCCCCTGTAGCTGCCATCTGCAACTCTCTCAATTTCAAGCTGTTATTTCTACTGACTTCTGTATTTCAGATGGTCAGGTTAGCTTGTATCTTTGGAAACTATAAGCAGAGCTGACTGGGTTAGGATTTGCACAGCCAGGAAGGAATCTGACCTCCCTGGAAAGGCTCACCCACCTTCACTTACCCATTGCCTACCGGCCTCAGTACAACCTCCCTGTGCACCCCCCCACCCCAAAACACACAAAGGCAGGTCTCAGTGTCTGCAGCAGAGTGGTACACAGTGGTGTGTACTTTTTGCACAACTCTGCTACCTTGTTACAGATTTGTGGTCCAAAGCCACAGCTCCACTCAGAAGATGGGGCAGTCTGCCAGTGCAGACTTGTTTCTTTGTTTTCTCGCTTTTAACTTGTTTTCATTCAAAATTAGGGAGAGAGGTGGGATGGGAGGATCAAGGACTTGGGGCTAAGGCAAAAGGCACACTCTCACTCAAAACTAATGGGTCCTTACCTGGCTTTATGATGATTTAAGTTGATTTTTTTACTGCTGTTGTAAATGTGAAATGTCAGAGAGGCAGCAGATAAGTGAGGAGTAGGTGTAAAATTAACTTTGTGAGAATGAAATTAATGTTCATGTTTTTGCTGTTGATAGGTGCCATCGAGTCAGTACTAACTCATAGCAATGCTATACACAACAGAGCGAAACACTGCTCAGTCCTGGGCCAACCTCACAATTGTTGCCAACACTGAAGCCAATTGATGTTGCCACTTTGCTAATCCAACTCGCTGGGGGTCTTCCTCTTTTTTCTCAGACCCTCCACCTTACCAAACATGATATCCTTCTCCAGTGACTGGTCCCTCCTGACAATATGCCCAAAGTATGAGAGGCAAAGTTTGACCATCCTAGCCTCCAATGAGCACTCTGGCTACACGTCTTCCAACATTCCAACACAGATCTGTTGGTTCTTTTGGCAGCCCATGGCACTTTCACTGTTCTTCTCCAACATCATAATGCAAAAGCATCAATTCTTCCATGGTCTTCCTTATTCATTGTCCAGCTTTCACATGCATATGAGGTTATTGAAAATAAGGTGCTTGGGTCAGGCGTACCTTAGTCCTCAAGCTGACATCTTTGCTCTTCAACACGTTAAAAAGGTCTTGTACAGCAGATTAGTCTAATGCAATATGTCGTTTGATTTCTTGACTGCTGCTTCCATGAGTGTTGATAGTTGACCCAATAAGAATGAAGTCCTTGACAACTTCAATCTTTTCTCTGTTGATCAGAATGTTGTTTATTGGTCTAGTGGTGAGGATTTTTGTTTTCTTTACATTGAGATGCAATCCATATCAAAGCCTGTGGTCTTTGATCTTTATCAGTAAGTATTTTAAGTTCTCTTCACTTTCAGCAAGCAAGGTTGTATCATCTGCATATCATAGATTCTTAATGAGTCTTCTGCCAATCCTGATGCCACATTTTTCTTCATATAACCCAGCTTCTAAATTATTTGCTCAGCATACAGTTTGAATAAGTATGGTGAAAGAATACAACCCTGTCTCACACCTTTCTTAATTTTTTAAACCATTCAGTGTTCCCATGATCTGTTTGAACAACTGCCTCTTGGTCCACGTACAGATTCTTTATGAGCACAATTAAGTGTTCCAGAATAGTCAGTCATACTTTGCAATGTTGTCCATAGCTTGTCATGATCCACACAATCAAAAGCCTTTGCATAGTCAACAAAGCACAGATAAACATCTTTCTGGTATTCCATGTGGTTGTGGTGATGGTTATGTGCCATGAAGTCAGTTCCTATTCATAGTGACCCTGTACAGGGTTTCTGAGGCTGTAATCTTTATGGGAGCAGAAAGCCTCATCTCATATGCAATGCCAAATATCATTCTCTTTGGTGTACTGTCATTTATCTCTACTATCCCTTAATCAAGGTCATGAATATAATAAATGGGACCCAAATTCTGTTTTCTGAATTCATGTTCAATCTCTACTACTCCACTTTGTTTTGGATTGTGGTTGACATCCTTTTGTTAAAACTGAAAAGAGGATCAAAGATATTCCAGGAAAAAAAGAAGAGAAGATGCAGTTGATCTTGTTAGAATTCAGAGAAATACAAATTCAAACCACATGAAGTTCTTCACACTGAAACACATTGAAAAGGTTAATGATACTAAGTGCTGATGAAAATGGAGAAGATGAGGAGTCATCACACATTGTTAATCCAGGTGGAAATTAGTTCACCCACTTTGGCAAATAATTTGGAATTCTTGAATATAATTGACCATGGCTATACATACCCTGTGAATCATCAATTCTACACTCAGGTATACAAAATCTGTGCATTATACACCCCAAAAAATATCTGTAGTTATTAAGTGCCATACAGTTGGTTCTGTACAGGGTTTCTAAGGAGCAGCTGGTGGGTTTGAACTGCTGACCTGGTGGTCCACAGTCCAGTGCTAATCCTACAGTGCCACACCAGGAGTTCCCAGGAAGTATGCTAAGATATACTAGGATGTTTATAGCAGCTTTTCCCATGGTGGTCAAAACTATAAATAACCTAAATATTCACTGAGTACAGTGTAAAAAAATAAATTGTGGGAGTTTTCCTCTTTCTTTGTGCTCCAGACAAGCAGCCAGTGCAAGCCCCTAAACACTGGCAGCAACCGGTAAGCAATCTGTAAGACCAAACAGTGCCAAGCCCTGGCCACACAGAGCTGTCAGGAACAGCGACCATCCGTGGCCTCACAGTCTGAGTAGCCACTGTGGCAGCTGGCAGGAAATGAGGGCAGGGAAGGGAAACCCACAGGCCCAAAGCATCTGTAGGTGGCAAAGACCAAAAAGCTGAATGACATTAACTGCCAAAAACTGTGAGGT